TGGCAGTGGACAGGACCTCCAGTTGTCTCCTCTGTGGCAGTGGACAGCACCTCCAGTTGTCTCCTCTGTGGCAGAGGCTGATCTGTCTGGAGGAGTGTAGGATGCTGCCATCTAGAGGACATAAGCAGGAACTACAACAACATAATTTATGTCCATAAAAAGATTGATGGACAGACCTTTTCAAAACTTTATTTGAACAAGTTGTATTGTTTTATTTAAATTTCACAATTATTTGTGAGAAAAATTAAAATGTATCAAATTTGACTGGTTTTACAGATATTTACCAATTTATACACTTATTTTATGCAACATGTTTCCACACATTTTATCTAGTCTATATTGCCAACTTTTCTGGCAACATACGTAGACATAAATGTTGCAACCATATTTTGTTGTTTCTTTTTAATTTCACTTTCAAATAGAAATCAAAACAACCATTCTCTTTCAAAAGTATAAAAGTTTACCACCATATTTATTTTTAGGTTTTCTTTCAGACATGACTAAAAGTTTGAGTTTCTTCAAGATTATTTACATTAAAAGAGAAATATATTAATGAGCATGTTTTTTTTTTTGTTTTTTTGTTGTTGGGTTTTTCTTTTTTTTACCTTTTTTTCAGTCTGTAGAATGCTCTCAGAACTACATGTAAATCTATCTTTGTACTTTATTTTCAAGTATTTTCAAGCATTTCAAGTATAATAAATGGTTAAAATGAATCTATTTCAGATCAAATATTTCCACTTTCAAGAAACAAGTAGAAAAGAAAAAAGTTTTGTTGACTTTAAAACTTTTCATCCAGACATTTTAGCTTCTCTCTTCATCTTAAACATCCGTCTTAGCCTTAGACCTTAGCATCCGTCCAAGACAATTAATAATTCAGTCATATCATTTAAGTCGATAACATTTTAAATTTAACCCAACTATGTTTGTCTAATGATATTTTTAAGTGTTTAAAGTTTTGAAATAAGAAAAATCTGAAATCAAACGCAGTGGAAGTCGATGAGAGTTGGCTGTGAACAGATTTGAGAGGAAATCATATCATAATGTCTCTGTGAGAAACAGGATGAAAACTCACAAAGTTCTTAATATTGATGCATGAACTGTGCAAAGGACTAAGATATTTTTAAAAGTTTAGACTGCTAAAAGGTGCAGCTGCACGATGTCGTCCCCCTCGTTGTTGTAAAACCTTCAAAACTCAAAACGAATCTGTGATAACATAAAGGTTATTAAATATATCGATAAACACCTTCAGGTATGGAAAGTTTACATTTTCTGTCAGGTGTGTTTCAGCCACAAAGCTCCAAAAAGACCTGTTTGTCTCGCTTGTTTCTCTAAAATCACTTTTTTTATTTTGTGACTGAAAGATTTTCTCGTCCCATGACGAACTGCTGCCAGAAGTCACCGCTTCCTGTTCCTGATTGAGCTGCATGTTTGCCCCTGCGTCATCTTTTAGGAGATATTTTTTAAACTGTGGGAGGAGTAGTGAATGGAAAATTGAGGTAAAAACAGAAGAATGTCAATCAAAATATATTAAAGTTGCTTCAATGATTATCTTGATTATCTTTGGATGATGGTCTTTAGAAGCTCCTGACACTCCCGATGTAGATGTTGGTTCCTTGGTCCATGTTAAAAACCTGGGGGTCAAAGTTGATGCAGGACTAAAATTAGAAAACCACATGAGAGCTGTTGTTAAAAATAGTTTTGTCCATTTGAGACAGCTGGCTAAACTAAAGCTGATTCTTTCTTTTCAAAACAGTAGTCCACACCTTTGCTACCACTTGGCTGGACTACTGTAACACACTACTCAGGAACAAGTGACTCGTGTATCTGTCAGCTTCAGAGGGTACATAATGCTGCTGCACGGCTTTTAACTGGCACACGAACGTTTGACCACATTTCTCCTGTTTTATCCTCCCTGCACTGGCTGCCCGTACATTCTAGGATGCGTTTTAAAATTATTTTATTTGCTTTTAAAGCTCTAAATGGTATGGGATGGGATGGGATGGGATGGGATGTTATGGGATTTTATGGGATTTTATGGGATGGTATGGGATGGTATGGGATGGTATGGTATGGTATGGGATGGTATTGGATGGTATGGTATGGTATGGTATGGTATGGTATGGTATGGTATGGTAT